CATCTTTTCCCCAATTTTTAATGTTGGGTTTCCCCATAAAGTCAATTTAGCATGGGAAAAAAGATCAAATCTTTTTTTATTAGACATAACGTTCCATAGCTTTCTGACATAATTGTTTGTAGAGATATTAGAGTTCTGTTGTATTTAGTTCCTAATACTGTCCATCCAACCAAAGGTGCTATATATGCATATTCCAATGTTGCCCAAATCGGAAAGTTAACACCATCTGTTGGGTTCCAGTATTTAATACTTGACAATCGGTAAGCTTGATGATATAGCTCCAGATTCAGAAAACCGAATCCTCCTTCATTAATTGGTATCTGCATTTTCTGTAAAAATATTCTGGGAACTGGAGAATCCCATAAATTTTCTGGGAACTGGAGAATCCCATAAAAGAATTTATTTTCTGAAAATATTTTCCATATTTGAACAGGAAGTCCTCTCAGAATATAAATTAATCTGGGAATAATATTCCTTTTGAGAGCATTCACCCTTCCCTGAAGGGTGAGGTTTAATGACTCCCATCTATCCATATCTAAGGAAAGCTCTTTACAAATATGGAATTGATATTTCTTAAATGGATGGATAACTAAATTTTCACCTCCTGGCATCAATTCTGATTTGGATTTGCATCAACACTGGAATAGTAGTATGAGGTTTAGTAATAAACTAAATATCATCTGCAAATAAAACCAATTTGTGTTCAACTGAATTATGTACTACTCTGTAAATCTCCCTTTATTGTCTAATAGCACAAGCCAAGAGCTCCACACAGATACTGAAAAGCAAGGGTGAAAGTGGACATCCTTGTCTAGTTCATCTGCAAATAAAACCAATTTGTGTTCAACTGAATTATGTACTACTCTGTAAATCTCCCTTTATTGTCTAATAGCACAAGCCAAGAGTTCCACACAGATACTGAAAAGCAAGGGTGAAAGTGGACATCCTTGTCTAGTTCCTCTAAGTAGTGGGAAAGTAGCAGAAAACATGCCATTAACCTTTACATTAGATGTGGGCGACTCAAATAATATCCTGGTCCGTTTCATGAATTTCAAAGGGAATCTGAAGCTGTTTAGCACAACAAACGTGTACTGTCTATATATTTTGTCAAAGGCTTTTTCAGCACCTAATGATAAAGTAACATATTTGTCTTTTATTCAAGTCTATTAAATCTACAACTAACCTAATATTGTCTGCTGCCTGCCCAGTTTTTATAAACCCTGCTTGATCATTCTTAATAACAAACGGTATTACTTGCTATAATCTATTTGCTAGAACTGCTGTTAAAATCTTTGTATCAACATTAATCAGAGAAGTTGGATGATAATGATCAATAATAATGATAATCACACTGAGTACGATCTAGTATATATAGAATCTATACTTAAAAGAAAGAGTTAAGTGCAAGGAAATAAAACAAACAAGTAACGCTGTTATAAAAACTAGAAAGAATCTTAAAAATAAACCAAGAAATAAAGAAAGACACGACTTCTCAATGGGATAGCACTGTAGCTCATCTCTCTTATTACAAGTAAATGTACAGAACAGCTTCAAACTAAAATATAGAGACTTAAGCTGGCAAAACACCCAGACTCATTATCATGACGTTGGCAGGAATACAGAAAAAAAACAAGTGAGAAATTGAGAATCTTTTAAAATGAGGCTGGACTCAGTTTTCTCCCTTAGCCATTGCTGTGGAATGAAACACAATCAGGCTTTTCCATCAGCAGATTTCATGATAAGATAAAGGTCTCTGCATTCAGAGGGTTATCAAATCTGTGCACTTGATCTTGATGGTTAGTGCAGAAAGTTGCTGGAAAACGTATGAAATATTGAAGTTGTTGTGTATTTTAATTCATAAATAAATATTTATTTTATTTCAATTTTTATTCTTTTTACTGTAAACCGCCTAGAGTCAATCTGTTTTGAGATGGGTGGTGACAAATTTGAAATATAAAATAAATATAAACAAATAAATAAAGTTGTGTTGATCTAGCAAGATTTTGGGCTTTTGCAAACACTCTTATCAGAAACTTCCTTCGTAAAATAAGGATAAATATCTTACTTTGGCTGGAGCCCCACTTCAATGGAGACTTTACTGATTTCTGGCAAAATATATGTAAAATCTCATATCTTCTGGTAACACAAAGGAACTACACAATAATGATGTTGGAACTAATTCCAGTCTTCTGTCTCATCAGAGGAATTTTCATTACATTTAATCTCAACTGGAAAGTCCATTCCCAAAAAGAGGAGCTTTCTGAAAAAATCCTCCATAAATTCAGCCAGGTTTGGTTGGCTTGGGGGGCTCTTAATACCAATCAAACGTAAATTTTTCCCACACAGGTCTGATTCTAGATAAGTAACTTGTTTATCCAAAATATTTTGACTGGCTTGCATTATGGTCTCATGGGCATGTAATTGATCTTCATATCTAGCCATTTTTTCTTACATCTGCTTTAGATCATTCTTAAACTCAGCCAGATCTTGTTGAATTGGCTTCAAAAGTTGTACCTGAGCCAGGATCGCTTTAACAAGTTAGTGGAACAACCCTCCTCCACCATGCTTCCTGGCTCAGCAGATAGTGACGCAGTAGGAGTTAAACTAGACTGTTTAGATCTAGTCGCCATGCCAATAGCTTGTTAAAAACAAGATAATATGTAATAAAACATTTTTTAATTACTGAGTAAATGAAGTCTTTATCCAGGGAGTCCGATAATTCAGAAGTCTGAAAGTCTTTTAATCAAGAGAGAAGCGAGAGACGTGTTTTATAGTACCATCCCAAACCTGGAAGTTATAGCCCATATGCTTTACGGCACACAGCCACATTGTTCTCATGACTGATTGAATAAATTTGTGATGATGGTATCAGTATATGGAATTGAACACAGTGGTGCTCATAAGTTTATACACCCCGTGCAGAATTTGTAAGATGTGGACTTTTTTGTAAGAAAACGTGAGTGATCAAAAAAACACTTTCAAATTTTTAACATGATTCAAATTAAACTATCAGGCATCACAGAATAGCACAATTATTAAACAAACCATAGCAATAAATAGTAAAATGGTTCTGTTGAGAGGTTTGCATACCCTTGAATGTTTGGGCTGATAATATAGTATACACTCAAGTTGACACACACAGGTTGAGATGGCAATGAACAGTAAGTATCAACACCAGTGCCTTATTGGACTGTAATTCGTGCCTGTGTATAGTCAATGAGTTTCTTAGCCCTTGAGAAACCCTTGCGCATTTCAATCAGGGTGTCAGAGTCTGCACACTCAATCCCAAAGTTCAGTAAATCCTCTGGAGACCAAAAGTTCCACCAGAGATTTCACCCTTGCGCATTTCAATCAGGGTGTCAGAGTCTGCACACTCAATCCCAAAGTTCAGTAAATCCTCTGGAGACCAAAAGTTCCACCAGAGATTTCACCCTTGCGCATTTCAATCAGGGTGTCAGAGTCTGCACACTCAATCCCAAAGTTCAGTAAATCCTCTGGAGACCAAAAGTTCCACCAGAGATTTCTTTATTCAGGAGAAACAATCCACATCATAGTTTTTTTAATCTAATTTTACAAAGCAAAGCCTTTTCCTTTTAAGCCCAACCTCCCCCCCCCCCCTTCTAGGTTTCCTTTCCCGCTTGCAACTCTTCGTGCCTTGCCCCGGTTCTCACACCTCCTGGCCAAAAGCAATAAAAAACAATTGAAGGTTCTGGCTTGCGTAGATCCTGACACAGGGATGCATTTATTTTGCTGGTTACTGAGGTATTTTAGTCATGCTCTATTCATTTATATGGTTTCTCTACCGTGTAGATTCTTTGATGGTCTTGAAGATTTCCATTTGTTTTGAAGGATTTTTCGTACTCCGTGCATTTATCAATTTATCTGTGAGAAGTTTATAATATTTACTGAGACCTACATTGTGACTGAAGCTCTTTCCATACTCCAGGCATTTATATGGTTTTTCTCCTGAATGAATTCTTTCATGGCTTTTGAGTTGTTTGTTTCTGATGAAGGTCCTTCCACACTCGAGGCATTTATACGGTTTCTCTCCTGAATGGATTCTTTGATGTATATAAAGACTTCCCCTCACACTGAAGCTTTTTCCACACTCCAGGCATTTATATGGTTTTTCCCCTGAATGGATTCTTTGATGCGTATGAAGGCTTCCATTCTCACTGAAGCTCCTTCCACACTCTAGGCATTTGTACGGCTTTTCTCCCGTGTGAATTCTTTGATGTATCCTGAGATGTCCTCCCTGACTGAAATTCTTTCCACACACTGTGCATCTATATGGTTTCTCTCCTGTGTGAATTCTTTGATGTATCCTGAGTTCTCCTCTCCGAGTGAAACTCTTCCCACACTCCATGCATTTGTATGGTTTCACTCCTAAATGTATTCTTTGATGGCTTTTGAGTTGTTCATTTCTAATGAAGCTCTTTCCACACTCCAGGCATTTATACACTTTCTCTCCTGAATGGATTCTTAGATGCGTGGAAAGGTTTCCCCTGTCACTGAAGCACTTTCCACACTCCCGGCACTTATAGGGTTTCTCTCCTGTATGGATTCTTTGATGGCTTTTGAGTTGTCCGTTTCTAATGAAAATCTTTCCACACTCCAGGCATTTATATGGTTTCTCTCCGGAATGGATTCTTTCATGTGTATGAAGGCTTCCCCTCTCACTGAAACTCCTTCCACACTCCAGGCATTTATAGAGTTTCTCTCCTGAATGAATTCTTTGATGTGAATAAAGGCTTCCCCTCAGAGTGAAACTCTTTCCACACTCCAGGCATTTATAGGGTTTTTCTCCTGAATGGATTCTTTGATGTGTATAAAGGCTTCCCCTCTGACTGAAACTCTTTCCACACTCCATGCATTTATACGGCTTGTCTCCTGAATGGATTCTTTTATTGGGATAAAGGCTTCCACCCTCACTGAAGCCTCTTTCCCACTCCCCG